TGACCTTTGTAAGTCTGCATCTGCACTAAAAAGTGTGCTAATCGAGTAATTAAGATATAATTAAGGTCTTAACCATGCATGATGCTGCAATAAAATGTCAAGCAGTAAATGTCTGCGGTGTTATATTTTATAAGCTAGTTATTGTTTTTTTACTTCAACTAAATGTTTTCTAAATGAACTTTGGGGTTTAACGATGGTTTAAAGTTTGAAAATAAAGACATTAAAGGGTTAGTTCACCCAAAAATGAAAGTTCTGTCATTAATTACTCACCCTCATGTCGTTCCAAACCCATAATTCAGAACACAAATGAAGATATTTTTGATGAAATCCGAGAGGTTTCTGAACCATCCATAGACAGCAACTTTAAAGGCCCAGAAAGGTAGTAAAGACATTGTTAAAATAGTCCATGTGACTGCAGTGGTTCAACCTTAATGTTATTAAGCGACAAGAATACTTTTGGTGTGCAAAAAACAACAACAGAAATAATGACTTTATTCAACAATTTCTGTTCTTCCATGTCAGTCTCCTACGCTGATCACGTAATGAACACAGTGCAGCGCTTCCAGTTTCTACGAACGCCGACTCATTAGCCTATATCATAACTATCCCTTTAAGACAGCCATAAATATCAGTATTGTAATTTTACAATGTAATATTAAATTAGTAAAAAATCTTAATGGCAATTTTATCTGATCAAATGTATTATTATTCGTTATTTGTTTTTTTTGTTTTTTTTAGAAAAAACGCAATTCTTCGCAATTTTTCTTTAAAATTGTGCAGCCCTGGTTCATTGTTTGTTTCTATACAATTATTTTTAGTTTCTGTATTCATTAGTAGTATTTTCTCGTTTATTGTAACCGAGCCCTTTCATTTCCTATGCCAATAATAAACCAGCTGCAAAGCCAGAAATCGTTCAGGATTTGATATAACATGGATTATGTCATATTGCTGAAGGTTAGAGATTGTGCATGTTGAAGATAAAGTGCCTTCTAGTAATTCTGTGAAGTGTTAGCTTTGGGAGGGGTGAAGCTAATCTGATTTGGCGCAGATCCAGTGGGTATTTCTCACAGGAAAGACACAGCCTTTAAGGGACTGTTATTTTAAGATGTTTCTCATTTCCGTTTCTCGGTTTATTTTGTGCTTTTGTGTTCTGGACACTGTGGTGGTGTTTACGCATGACTTGTGCCCAGCTCAGTTGTTGATAATAATATTCTGGTCTGATTTGTGATTGCTGCTGAATAAGTAATATTTTGATTTGGCCTTTTTGAGATTTATTTGGCCATGTCAACTGGCTTGGAATGACTTATGAACAGAATTGTGTCTATTTTACAAATCTACAAGCAGTTTTGTCTATAACAGTATTTTGATTTTCATACACACCATCGTTGAAAAGTTTGGGGTCGATACGATTTTTTTAAATGCTTTTGAAAGAAGTCTAGTATGTTCACAGAGGCTTTGATCTTTGACAGTAAAACCGTAATATTGTGAAATATTATTATGATTCAAATTCAAAATAACTTTTTTCTATTAAAATGTAATTCATTCCTGTGATGCAAATCTGTATTTTCAGCATCATTACTCCAGTCTTCAGTGTCACATGATCCTTCAGAAGAAACATTTCTTATTATGATTGTGCTGTGTAATATTATTATTATTATTTTTTTTTTTTTTTTTTTTTTTTTTTTAAAGGCGAATCATTGTCATTTAGGAAAGAGATTGCGTGGGTGTTTGAATCGAGAACGCGTTCTTTTATCAGAATCATGCAGCTCTAGTATATCCTCGCGACAGCTTAGGATGGCAGTGCCACACTTTGGGCTCATGTTTATGGAATAAATTCAGAATCGATTTATTGCCAGTCGTTAGAGCCTGTTCTAAATGTCAATAAACTGGGGATTCAATCAGAATCACGTGTGTATTGTACATGTTGCTAATAAATGTGCCATGTGTAATTTTTAAACCTTCAATTAAAGGGATACTCCACCAGTTTTTCTTATTAAACTATGTTATTCCCTTATCTAAGACGAGTTGATACATACCTCTCTCGTCTCAGTGCGTGCACTATATCGCTCTGTATTGCCGCAAAACTATGTTAGCACTTAGCTTAGCCCATGCATTAAATATGGGCCAAGCAGAGAAGCGACCAAACACTTCCACGTTTTCCCTATGTAAACACAGTTACTCGAGTAGTGTAACTGGACCTGGGCTGGTGACACAAAATAAACCGTTGCGCTTTTCTAAGCGTTTAAAATTGATGACTATATTGTATGGCGGAATACCATAACAAGTGCTTTTGAGCACTTCGACTTGGCGCAATAATATCTTCACTCGTGAAAAGTCCTCTTACCGGCTCCCGCTTCCTCTCCCCCTCCCTCTGACATTTCCGTCAATACAACCAACGTGACATGCGCCGGTAGTAGTAGTTCGAGCGGAGTTGACGAAGTAACAGGTTGTTGGAAGCTAGTTTGTGTACAATAATGGTTAAAGCGTGCATCGTAAAGGGTTGTGAAAATAAGGAGAATGTACATAGTGCTGTCATTTTTCACCGAATTCCAACACACCACATACAGCGGAGAGCTTGGTTAGCTGCTTTGAACAAGAATCCCAAAACACCATTGATGACTCTGAAGAAGTGGCGTGTTTGCTCCGAACATTTCACAAAGGAGGACTATACCTGCACAGGAACACGCCTAAAGGATGAGGCTACACCAACAATATTCAGATCACTTACAGAAAGCCCGTGGTCTTTCGCCAGCTCCGGTCTGTTCTGGATCATATCTTTCTTCCCTCTCACGGTCCATAAGAGCTAATTCCTCCTCCGTGTACTCGGGTTCAAACAGATATGGCTCTGGGTCTTCTACAAAGAAGTCATAATCATCTACAAAGTCCGCCATTGCAAATGATCTGCAGTTTGCTAATAGCACAGGTAGTAAAAGTCACGTTGGTTGTATTGACGGAAATGTCAGAGGGAGGGGGAGAGGAAGCGGGAGCCGGTAAGAGGACTTTTCACGAGTGAAGATATTATTGCGCCAAGTCGAAGTGCTCAAAAGCACTTGTTATGGTATTCCGCCATACAATATAGTCATCAATTTTAAACGCTTAGAAAAGCGTAACGGTTTATTTTGTGTCACCAGCCCAGGTCCAGTTACACTACTCGAGTAACTGTGTTTACATAGGGAAAACGTGGAAGTGTTTGGTCGCTTCTCTGCTTGGCCCATATTTAATGCATGGGCTAAGCTAAGTGCTAACATAGTTTTGCGGCAATACAGAGCGATATAGTGCACGCACTGAGACGAGAGAGGTATGTATCAACTCGTCTTAGTTAAGGGAATAACATAGTTTAATAAGAAAAACTGGTGGAGTATCCCTTTAAGTGTATTTTTATGATGGCAATAACTATAAAGTGACCATTGTAATGTAGTAATCAAATGTAGGCTAATAAAATTACTACGCTCAGATGAGTGAATGTGTGTTCCTTTTACCGGTTAACATTTAGTCCATGCTTTTTGTTTTTATAAATTTTCATTTTTAGTTTAGTCAATTTAACTTCTGCTTTAAAAATCATTATTTTTGTTTTTTTAGATTGTAATTTTGTAGTTACAATGTTAGAATGTAATGTGATTTTGACCCTTTTTTTGCACTTAATAGTTAATATAGTATTCTGATGTTTATGAAAGCGTTCTTCAGTTTGTTTAGCAGTGTGTTTGAGAGCGTTATCCCAGAGCAGGGATTCCCAAAATCTCAATATAAATAAATATGAATATTTTAAGTTAATATTTCATTTAACTACACATTTGCTTATTCTTGGTTCTCTGATGTCAGGTAATGGTCACATGAAATATTGAAGTTTTATTTTGATTTGACATTTTTAGAATTTAAGTGATTATAACGGTTCACTTTTCGTCATGTCACAACCCTCCTCTAGTTCCCTTCAGGTGTTCACAAATCATTTTTGTTTTTATGCATTCCATTTATGCAAGTATTGAATGTAATGTGAATCACTGATAGTTCTGTTTGCTTAATTGTAACATCTTTAACTTTTAGTTTATGCCAAAACATCTCACACCAACCAGCTACCTCATTCATTCATTTAAAGCTTTTTAACTTTCTTCATCTTTAGCCAAGATTAAATGTTTCAACAAAGACTTTCTTGCAGCTGAAGTCAGATTTATTGAGCTAGACAGGTTTGTGCGCAGTTGTCATCTTGTCAACTCTTTCTTCCATTTCTTTAATGGAGGATTGTAACTCCTGTAGAGTTGCCCTAGGCCTCTTTTGTGCCTCTTTTCCCTTACTGCACACCCGGTTTGAAAGGCCGGGCGATTTTGGGCAGGTGCAAAACTCACATTTGTCACCTGTAATTATAGCCTTAGAGAGCTTTAAAAGTATATTCATTGCTTTGAAAAGTTCATAACATTCCATCGGTTTGGAATGTTCCTGTGTCGTTCAAATTCAAATTTTGAATTTTTTTTTTCCAGTATTTTTTTTTTTTTTTCAATGCATGTGCTAAATTGGAATGGATTCATTCTGGATTATTTTTTTTTTTACTACTGACATTATCAGAAGATAAAACTTATGCTTAAGCAGCTATAATCAACAGGTTATATCTAGGGATGCACCAATATGAAAGTTTTGTCCGATAACCGATAATTCTTTATATTTGATAGCCGATATATTGGCTGATAAATCTAAATCAGACTTGCGCTGCACATGTTGCACTCAACTTAATCTTCATTTTTGAAGTGATTCCAATCATATTTCAAGCAATTCAAAACCATCATGGCGAACAGTGTGCAGCGTCTCAGCTGAAGGAAATAATCCATTATTTATCGACTAATATACCGGCCTAATTTTCTTATCAGGCCGATAACATTAAAGATGAACGTATATCGGCCGATACTGATATGGTGGCCGATATATCATGCATCTTATATCACATGTGACAATTTTATGTAGCATTTGAAAATCTTATATCAGAATTTACATGTTTTTTTTCCTCTCTTCAGTTCAAGTTACTCGTCCGCAGCCCTCGAGTTTGAGAAGGAGCACAAAATCAATCCTGTGTACGACTCGCCCAGAATGTCACGGCGTAGTTTGAGACTACAGACTAGCAGTGGTTTCTATGGTGACAACAGCTTCACTGAGCTCACGGGGAATCACAATGTCAGCTCCCACAAGCGGACCAGCACCACCACCACCACCAGCAGCAGCAGCAACGTAAACAGGTCAGATGTTCATCTCTCTGTCAGTTTGAGATAACAACCCGAGTGTAAAACATGACTTCTTATCGGTAAACCCGCACAGCCTCATACCAGCACAAATACGTGAGGACAAAATGATCCTTGTTCTGTTTTTGCCAAATGAATCATGTGGCAAATGAATCTCTTAAAGCCATTAAATGTATCCTTTTATCTTACTACTGTGGACACCTTTTGTTCAAGGAAAGGAGGTTCATCTTAAAATGTATTATTATATGCATTGAATTTTGCTATTCCGCAACTATAGATTTAAGAAATATACAAGTAGTGACAGTTAGCATTACAACTTGCACTAGTAAGAGAGGTTGTCCTGCAACTACTGACATGTTAGTGCTTGAGTTAAATGAATGAAGAAAAATGAATGACATAGTGAAAATACCATCTTTTCAACCTTACAGAAATCCCCCCCAAAAGATATGTTTGTGCGATCAGCCTGGCAGCACATATTTGACATGACTTACAGCAAGTTCGTACAACTTACCTGCCGGTACTTAATTTTGTGTCAGTTTAATGACCCATAAAAGAAGTTTAAGAATGCACATTTATTGAATTGTTTTTTTAAATAAAGTGGACGAGTAGTATTTTGTCTTTCAATAAATAGTATTAATTAATAGATGCCAGTGTTTCCTCTAGGATTTTTTCCAGCCATGGTGGCAGGCCCATTTCGCCATGGGGAGGGGGCGTGGCCCTTGAGTGATATTCCCATATTCCCAAGAACAATTCATAGTGCTCTGAGCTCTCCACTCCAGTGCTGTAATCTAACAGACACCCAGGAGAAAGGAATATGATTTAGAAAGCGCTATAAAATCCAGCAAGATAAAGTCATTTTATGCAAACTATAGACCTTTATATACAAATAAAGTATAATAATGGGAACATTGATCTTGAAGAGAGTGTCGTCGTGTTACTGTCGTAACCGAACGCGACGCGCTGTTTGAATGCTGAATGGAGAATGACTGAGGAGAGATGAGTCTCCATTAACTTTAACTTAACGACTTAAATATTCATTTTTACCTCACATTATGCTATTGCATGACTTTAGAAGTCTTGGAATATAGTGCGAAAACTTTATGGTGCTTTACAATGTTTTTTATGCCTTTAGCTTAACAATAACACAATAGTATGCACAATATCGGACCTCACTGAGAAGCTGCAGCCATGGCGGGATGATTTTAGGTGTGGCGGCCCGCCACGGCAGAATGAATGTAGAGGAAACACTGGATGCATTAAAGCTTTTGCATAGTGCTTAGTGCATATGCTTCTGATATGTTTAGCTGTGTGGGTGATGCAGGCTCCAGTCTAGAAATATGATATGTCCTAAACACCAAAGCTTTTAGTCAGAGTGGAAAGGATGTTTAATTTGACACAAATGTCCAACGTTGACTCCCAATACACTACCGTTCAAAAGCTTGGGGTCAAGACTTTTTTTTAAGTAATTAATACTTTTATTTATAAAGGATGCATTAAAGAGGTTATGAGATGGATTCTTTCCATTTGATCAGGAATAAATTACATTTTACTATATATTAGATAATTTTTTTACTTAGTAATAATATTTCACAAAATGTATACTGTATTTTTATTCAAGTATAATTCAGCCTGGGTGAGCATAAGAGATCTTGCAAAAAAAAAAAAAAAAAAAAAAAAGATATATATATATAAACATATATAGACGAACCGAATTCCTTCCACTAGCAAAAATGAACAGTGACTTTTGCCATTAATGATTATATGATCCTCACTATCAGAGGAAAATATTCTTTACATATTTCCATATGCCACATGAGAAAAAATTGTGGCAGCAACAAATGACTTTGTTTAGGGTGTAATAGAAGTGCATAGTGATCCTCACTTTGAAATGTAATGACCCAGTGTATTTTGTCCCGCAGGTCTGTGCGGAGCAGGAGGCAGCAGCAGCAGGGGTCGTCCATGTACGAGTCTCAGAGCGTGACTCAGACTCCACAGAACGATCAGAGCACATCAGACCTGAGCTTCAACAGTACCGCCAGTGATGCGTCTCTGATCTCCAGCCTGCTGGACAAGTCCACGCTCAGACAGAGCTCCACCACACACATGTACTCTGGTCAGTGGCCTTTCACGAGTACGCACAGCCAACATGAAGTCAAAACACATTTACATTTGAAATTCTGCACGATTAATTAGTGCTTATAATTCATAAAGTTTGTGAAAACTGTAATTGTTGTTATTTTAGGCAAATGTCACGCTGTAGCTATTGCTTATATAAGCCTGACTATATAAACTATGCATAAACAACTGTTTATGTTGGAAGTTCAAGATTTTGTTTAAGTTAGCAGAATAAATAACTCTAGGGCAGGTCATCATCATCTTTCCTCTGTGTTTCACATCAGTTGAAAAAAAGACCTTTTTTTTTACATTTTCAACTTTCTTTAGTGTGTTAATGATGCTGTTTGAGCATGAAAAAGCTCTGCAAAGTTACAAAGCACAAAGTCACTCCGAAGGGAGTTATTCTCTATATCAGTAAACACTGTTTCTGAAATCCCTGAAAGCCTCAATTCGCCTTTGGCTAAGCCCCGCCCCCCTTAGTTACTGTTGCTACGTCCGACAAACAAACTTCATCTGGGCTCTGGTATCAACATGGCTTATGCTGTGACAGCTCTTCCTGCTGAAATTTTATCAAACTTTTATAAAGCAGCAAATAAAGTGTCCGATAGAAGTAGGCAAAAGGGGCTGCAATACGTTCGAAGGCTATATTCACGACATACAGGTGAAACGCAAGGAACAACAAGGCATCCAAATAGAGGCAAAAGCATACCGGTCACAGTAAAAAAATCAACCACCGCATATCCTACTAATCGAGACGGAGGCTGGGACTAACAATATCAAGGAGCAACACTGTTCATGCAAAGCTGGGTAGGTCTCTATTCACTTCTATAATCGTTATTACAAAGCAAACGGACTACGCGAGTATAACGTTGTTATTTATTTATTAGCAGCGTGTGCTAGACGACACTTGTCAGGATTTGACTTCGGTTTGGGAAGGGAAAAAAACGGACACCCCCCTCCAACCTCTCTGGGAAACACGCATCTGTGTTACAAATGCCCCAGGCACAACGTTAACCATATTTTTGATAAAACTACGACGGTAATAGCCTGCCGAGACCAAAAATATGAGACGCCTGTGTTAAAGTCAATGGAGCGCTGTGAAAAAGTGTCGGACCACTGTGGGAGCTCGTTCTTGGCTGCGCTGTGATTGGTCAATCTACATTCTAGGGTGTGGCTTAGCCAAAGGCGAATTGTAGTCTTGATTTCTTTCTAGGGACAAACATGACACAATATTCCTCATTTAAATAAATCCCACTTAAGGCATACGCAAAATAAATGTGCCAGGCCTGGTTGAGTTAGTAGTGTGATGAAACTTATCGTTTATGGTATTACATTCCTTAACCAATCACAACACACTGGTCCAACCAATCAAAGTTCATTGCATATTCTATTAGGCCCAGGAACAAAATCAAGACTTTGTAAACGGGCATAAAATGGCTTCTTTAACAGTGTGCTTTGACTCTTGTTATTCATTTATTTGTTATTTTTCCTAATGTTGTGTTCAGCACGGAGACGAAGAACGGCTCACAGCTCTCTGTTGGAGAATGGAGATGCCAGTAAAACGGAGGCGCACGCTAATCTGGCTAACGGCTACATCTGTAAGGACTGTTCGTTCCACGCAGACGGGAAGGAGGATGAAACGGTGTTTACTTTACCGTACTCCGCGTCTTCACCGCATCAGACAGCTGTAGATGCCACTGTGACCACCTCTCTGAACAGTGTTGACAATGACAGGACAGGTGAGGAGGACATCCATCTAGTCAATTCGCAAACATCGCTACTGTTTTTATGCTTCTCCATAATTTAAAAAACTGAATGTAATTTCTGGTTCACTATGAATATTTGAAGTAGACCAATAAGCAAGTCACCTTAAATGTATGAGGCATTGTGTAATTCTGGTTTAGTGCTATGTTTTTTTATATATATATGTATGCAAATTCATGCTTGCTCTTTTGAATGAAGTGAAATGCATGCTGGGATTTTAGGTGAGCAGGGGATGATTTTTGTGGTACGTGTGTTTCAGCTCATGACAGCTACTGTGGCAGTGTGAACGTACGAGATCTGGCGACCGCAGACAGACATCTCAATCTCAACGGCTCCCTCTGTAAGTACACACGGTCCTTCAGCGCACAAGCAGCTTCAGCAGCAGACATTTACAAAATGCTCAAAAACTACTGCTAATGCACTATCAAAACTTATGATGTGGACATTTTTCTGTAGTGAAAGGGCATCAACAGGATTTTTGTTGGGTTATTTGTTTTTGAATGGCTACTTTAAGGACAGAACCTAAGCCTGACGGTCAACAGAGCTTGTGATGGTCCTTTCTGAATGAGATAAAGGATGACAAATTGTCCACTCAATGTTGTCAACCAGAGTGTCATTGGGACAATAAATCAATGTATCTACACCTTTGAGTTATCAGACACTTCCTGCCTTTACAGCTTAGTGTTTTTTTTAATTATTAATTACATGTATGTTATGTTTTCAGTCATTTTGAATGTATTATTTTTATAGATTGATATTTTAACATACACTACCATTTAATAGTTTAGGGTCAGTAAGATTTTTTTTTTTATGTTTTGTAAAAAAAAAAAAGTCTCATTTATTTGATCTTTGAAATACAGTCTCTACCAGTCGATCTACGAACGCCGATCCAAGCTTACTGTTCGCGCTCACCTTATCACAACTTATAGCTCGTTCACATCTCACCAGCGCACTTGGATCGGCGTTCGTAGATCGACTGGTAGAGACTGTTTTTCAAAGATGGCTTCTGCCTGTATACGCGAAGTTGACTGTATGTATAAAATATCTTCTTATTAAACTGTCTGGACACTGACAAAGTTCTCAATGCTTCGGTTTGAAGGTAGGGACCCTCATTATGCTACCGTGCTAGTGTGGGGCTATTTTCAGCCTTGTTAGTGGTATTAACAAGCGATTTTTATTTGTCATTACTCCATGCCCAATATACTAGCGTTATACTAGCTTTATAGGCTAAACTGTTTTTAGAGATAAAACTATTTACATTCGATAATCATGAAAACAAATCTCAGATAACGGTTGACTAGGTAACAATGTGTAATTAGACCAAAGGTTCATTTTGCGCCGGAGTTCTCCTTTAATATTTTTGTGGAAACTGATGAATTTTTTTAGGATTCTTTGATGAATAGAAAGTTTTTAAAAGAACTGCATTTCTTTGAAATAAAAACCTTTTGTAACAATATAAATGTTGTTGTCACTTTTGATCAATTTAATGTATCGCTCCTGAATAACAGTATTGATTTCTTTCCAAAAGTATATATTTTACTGACCCAAAATGGTAGTGTACCATTTTGAGTATATTATTTAATAAATTTATATTCTTCTTGACTTTATTTATATAAGTTGTATTCCTTTCCATGAGTTGTGATGCTGATGTTGATGTCGTCACTGCTGACTTACAGGCGATGACTGCAAAGGGAAGCAGCACATGGAAACACGCATGGAGCATAAACGCTATTCCTTCACCCGCCACGTATTCACAGCCTTGTGGGCCCTTGTTTCTTACACAGGTTATACACCTTCAGATCTTTACACACCTTCCTAGTAGACATCGCTTCAGGAGAGACGTTTTTGTGTTGTTCTTTTTGTAAGCTTTCACGACTTTACTTGTGTTTTCTATCCATTTGTTCACTGAAAGTCTTCGCTAAGGTGTAAGACACTAGAATGCAATTTGGGGGAAAGATGTGTTGGATAGCAGGATGTTGTCTGAATGTCTTCTGGTTGACTCAGGTTACGGTCTTCTGAAGGTTTGCCGAAGCTTCGGCTCTGCCGGTGCGTTTGTGACTCGGAAGCTGAAGTCCGTGCTGTGGTTGGCACTGTGTTCTCCAGGTCGATATGATTCAGACTCCAGCATGCACGCCTTTCTCTCTCACTTCCTCCTCTTTCTCACATCATTTAGTTTTTGGCACAGTGAGGCCCCATATGATTTCTTTCTGAAGACTGAAATCATTTTAACCTGCACTTCCTTCCTGAACTTTTCAGCTCTGGTGATTCGAGTGCATCCATCTCTGTATCTGATTCTTTGACTAATAATTCTCTTCCCTCAATCATTTAAACCTGTCAATGAGTAACATGGACTAACTATCGCTCCATTATAACTTCCTCTTCTGCTCTGAACAGGGAAAGCAGCGACTGGCGCCTTCTGGTGGCTGGGAACAGGATGGTATCAGCTGGTGGCGCTCATGTCTCTGATCAACGTCTTTCTACTCACCAGGTAAAAGTTAAAAGTGTTTGGGCCTTTATGTAAATATTGTGCTTTTGCTTATTATTTTAACACACTCTAGTCAGGTCAAGTCATCTTTATTTTAAAGCGCTTTATACAATAGAAATTATTTCGAAGTAGCTTCACAGTAATAAACTGGAAAATAACAATCACTGATACAAACTTTATCAAATTTGAGACAAGCTCTAAAAAGATAATAGTATCCTTATTCAGCACAATTTAGTTCAGTGTTGATTCAGTTCACTAACTGTAAAATTAATTTATTATGTAACAAGTTCAATTCAGCTTTGAGCAGCTCTACTAAAGACAATAGTGCCGTTATTCAGCTCCAGTCGGTTCAGTGTTGACAGTTTAGTTCAATAACAGGGTGGTTGATGCAAAATTCATACATTTAAAAAAATATATAGTTTCAGCTATAAAGTGGAAGAAAACAGTGTCATTATTCAGCTCAATTCAGTTCAACCTTTCTTCTCATCTGATCAGTGTAAAGTGCAGTCAAATCCATAATATTGCTGGATATTACTCTTTGGTCAGGATGCAAATATTATATATATATATCTCTTTTTGACAGTATTTTTCTCTCTGTCTGTCAGGTGTCTGCCCAAACTACTGAAGCTTCTTCTGTTTCTGCTACCCTTCCTGCTGCTGTTCGGTGAGATTTGAATTGGATTGATTTGTAATATTGTCATTAGAGGAATATTAGTACTTAATGTTAAAGGAATAATACAATTTATTTAATTTCAGCATCTGTGAGATGCCGTATAAACTTATGGAAAACACTTTTACAGTCACTTGTTACATGCTCTTACATTCACTTAATGTAAAAAAATCTGAAACTTTTAAAAAATATATTTTAATGTTATAAAAATCTTGTAAAGTCTAAACTGTCCTTTTGAGGTGGGACTACTTTTCCAGGTGGAAGACCTTTTGCTTATATTACATACTAACATGAAAATAGTATTTCAGATCAAATAAATGCCATATTGGTTAGCATAAGAGGTTTCTTTCAGAAACAGAGTAATCTGTATATTTGCACAGAAATGGTTAAGTGATTCTGTTTCACTAGACTCATTTTAGTACATACAATGTTTGCAAATGTTGTTTTACTTCTGTGACAGTGTATTTGCATATTTCAAATATATATGGAGCTTGCTGCACACTTGTTTGCTAGGCTTCCATTGTAAGTGCTTTCGTGGTAATCAAAAGCATGTCACAGAGCATAACGTTGACGGTAAAATACCTTCTCGTATTTGAATCTAATATACACAGACGAGTTCTATTAAAGACAGTCATTGTTGTTGCAATTCCTTTTTTTTTGGTATAATGGCACAGAAACCTTTGTAATGATCCAGACATTCCTTCACAAAACCACTGGCACTAATAAACAGCCACACTTGTGCAATCATATGTACTTCTACCCAGATGGTTTTGCTTATTCTACTTTCACACTTATCCAAGATTGCACAAACACACACATTCTCTTTTTCTTTCTTTCTCTCTCCCTCCTCAAAACGCTGATGTGAAGTTGAAGTTGTTGCCCTGAAATGCATAGTAACGTAAATTGAATATCATTATCATAGAAAGTGCCTTTAAAAGCTATTACGATTGTGTTTTTGTACCAAAAAGTCCATAAACTCCGTGTACGAGCTTTTGAACAAAGACTGTGTTTATTTAGAGATCCTGTCTCTAAGGTTTCGCTCCTTTCTCTTGTTTTTAGGATTATGGTATCTCGGTCCAACCATCGCTCTGTCCTTCCTGCCAGCTGTAAACCTCACAGAGTGGAAAACAGCGGTCACCTCTATCGCATCACTTCCTTCCCTCCCTTCTCTGCCATCTCTTCCCTCTTTACCTGCACTACCTTCTTTTATAAAAGAACCACTATTTGAAGAACAACAACGCATCCCACCTTCAGCGATCTCTCAGGTAACGAACCAGGACCAATCACTAGAGTCAAATCTGATATTTATAAAGTACATGAATTTTGAATCTAATTCTAATCTGAACTCTTGTCAGGCTGCATCGGGGTCCATTGACAGCGAGCGTTTGGCTCGACTCGAGCAGCGTGTGGCGTCACTGTGGGAAAGCGTCCAGCAGGGGGAGCTGATAGTCAAGCAGCAGCATGAGGAGGCCGTGGGTTTCGTCCAGGCCCTTCAGGACCAGATAAACACACAAACAGACAGAGAGAGTCTCGGCCTGTGGGTCTCGCAGCTCCTCGAGCCCAAGTTCAGTGCACTCGAGGGAGAGATGGAGAGAGAGACGGTCAGCAGGACAGAGGTGAGAATTATCAAGCTTCTGTGTTAAGGTCGTTTCCTCTGTTTTGATCATTAGTTACAAAAATACAGGGTTCAAAATGATCATTTAAAGGTAAATATTTGGAAACTTTTTTATGGGACTGTCCTGCTTTTAATGTTATTCTCCACTGATTTATTCAGAAATGTCATTATTATATGGTTTTCTTTTAAAATAATTCCTGCCACCTTTTTTTTCTTCGTTTTACCCCTAAACGAAGAATGAAAAAGAGCTTTACCATGAGTATATCGGGGCCTTAACTGATAAAAAAAAGTTGCAAAGGCATTTTGCTTGTTTTGCTGTGTTTATGTACAATCCATGCCTCCCTCTGTCCCCAGTGGCATTATTTTACCCACAACTGTCTTTTTAATGTGTAGTTGTTTTTCTCTCACTGTGTGTTCCAGACTGAGGAACAGCGTGTGCAGCAACAGACGAGTCTCGAAACTCGACTAGCCGAGCTGGAACTTCTGCTTCAGAACCTGAACTCTAGAACTGAGGTAGAACACACACACACACACACTCTCTCTCTGTCTTTTGATGCCTTCATGTCTTGTCAGAATTACTGCAATTACAATTTAGAGATTGTTTTCCCATGTCCTCGGATTATTTCTTGCCATTGCAACGTATTCTGTAAGAAAATATAGAGTCAGTAAGAGAAAGTGCCAACTGATAATATAAAATAATAAAAAAGGCATAAACTACTATTCAAAAGTTTGGGTTCTATTCAATTTTTTAAAAGTTTTCTAAAGAAGTCTCTTCTGCTCACCGAGGTTGCATTTATTTGATAAAAAAAAATACAGTAAAAACATTGATATAGTGAATTATTACTATTTAAAATAACTGTTTTCTATTGGAATACATGTTAAAATGTAATTTATTCCTTTGAGCAAAGCTGTATTTTCAGCATCATTACTCCAGTCTTCAGTGTCACATGATCCTAATGATACTAATATGGTCTGATTTGATGCTCAAGAAACATTTCTGATGAATGTTAAAACTATTAATTTCATTTAAAAATTACTCGCCATTCATCTAATTTTGTCTCAATTCTCTTCTCATTCAAAGGAAATCCATGTAACACGGCAGACTCCAGAACAGGCCTCTGTCAGGTAGACATGCTTAAAAATTACCAGCAAATGTAGTTGTTCTGGGCACTTCCTGTCTCAGTATTAATGTCCGCTCTTAACTTTTGCTCTGCAGTGTTGGAGTGTCTCAGGAGAACCATGATGCTTTGCTCTCTGAGGTTCAGAGGTTGGAAGCGGAGCTGGGCCGCATCAGAGGAGACCTGCAAGGGGTGATGGGATGTCGGGGGAAATGCAACCGGCTCGACACCATACATGAAACGGTGTGTAGTGTTTATATAATATATATATGTTTATGTAATATAATACACTTATCCTGTTGGGGTTTTTACTTATATTTATATATATATATATATATATATATATATATATATACTCTGATTTCTTCCCCAGGTGTCGGCACAGGTGAAAAAAGAGTTGTACGCTCTGTTGTACGGCCGAAACGGGGGTGAAATGGAGATTCCCGAGCCCTTCTTGCCGTGGCTGGCATCTCAGTACACACGCTCCTCTGACCTCACTGCGATCCTCATGACCCTGGAGCGCAGCATTCTGGGAAACCTGTCTCTTCAGATGCAGGAGAGCAAACAGCAGCAGTCCTCCGCTGAAACAATTACTCAGACTGTCGCCCACACCGCTGGGGCTGCTGGGATGTCAGAGGAGGTACAAAACTAAAAAAAATAACGTTGGGTTGATTAAAAAAAATTGTTTTTTTGAGCTATGGAAACTTCTAATTAAATTGTATTAAAACAACAAATTACATTATATTATAAATTAAGTTCCTCTAAGGCAAATGCAAATTTTTAAGTTGATTACTCAAAAAAATGACTTGAGCTGTAGCCCTGAAACCAATTAATGATCTATTTTACTTCAAATCTGCAGCTAGATTAGCATATGCTAAATGTAACTTATTTAGCTTGTAATTTTAATGAACAAGTAAGAAATTACTTTTCACTGGCATCAGCGATGTCATTGCTTATAGAGTCAATGTAGTGTTTGCCTTCAGGTAGTCTAACTTTTAAGTCAACATAACTCAACAAAATAACTGTTGAAACTTAAACGGATCAATAAATTCGAATTTTTAAAAGTTGTGGTAGCAGGTCTGCTGAATTACTTTTTAGAGTGAATTATGCATTATCGTTCAAAAGTTTGTGGTCAGTATGAATTCTTTTTCTTCTTTTCTTTTTAAATGATTACTTATATTCAGCAAGGTCAAAAGTGACAGTAAAGACATTTATAATGTTACGAAAGATTTATATTTCAAATGAATGCTTGTCTTTTGAACTATTAAAGAATCCTGAATGTATGTATCACGGTTTCCACAAAAATATTAAGCAGTACACAGTTCAAAATTGATGATGATAATGTTCTTGAGCAGCAAATCATCATATCACAATGATTTCTGAAGGATCACTGGAGTAATGATGCTGAAAATTCAGATTTGATCACAGGAATAAATTACATTTTATAATATATTAATATAGAAAAGTTATAAATTGTAATAATATTTCACAATATTAACTGTTCTACTGAGCATAAGAGACTTCTTTCAAAAAAGAGACATTACAACATATCCTACCCAACTCCAAACTTTTGAGCAGTTGTGTTATGTATCTTGCTCTTTCAAAGTAGACTCCACCCTCATATCTTAACAACAGATGTAAAGTTTATTACACATCAAATGACACCCAATCTGTTAGAATGTGTATGACTTGATCATGTGAAGAGGAAAGAACGATTATGGCAGCTGTTAGCACAAATTGAAGTTAATTTAAGTGGCCATATTTGAGGAAACCCTTTTTTTCTCGTTCAATTGTATGTTTTCATACCCCTTTTAAGATGCCTTTAAAATCTCTGAAATAATACCAACTGTGTTTCCCCGCAATCTCAGCAGGTCCAGTTGATTGTCCAGCGTGCGTTAAGGCTGTACTCCCAGGACCGCACCGGACAGGTGGACTATGCTCTGGAGTCTGGAGGTAAGCACATCTACAAAACACGTACATATGAACATCACTGGCCCTTTAAAGACATTTTTACACAAGACTGATGTGTGTTGGCAGGTGGCAGCATTCTCAGCACGCGCTGCTCCGAGACGTACGAGACAAAGACGGCACTGATGAGCCTGTTTGGGATCCCACTGTGGTACTTCTCACAGTCTCCACGTGCTGTCATCCAGGTACAGACCTAAAGTACACACTTTGTACTGTACTTGAAGTGATAGATAACCTGAACCAGCATCACGCATATCAATATATGCAACTATTCCAGGGTTTCCGGGGAGTCATAAAAAGTCATAAAACGTCTTAAATTTAATAATAAGAATTTTAGGCCATAAAAAGTCATAAAAACGTCCGGATTTTCCCTACAAGGTCATAAATTACATTTAGCCACGTCTTAAATTGATATGCTCATTCATTCATTATCGCGATATAATTTTTCTCGATAAAACGATATCAAGAGTTCGATAAATGTTCGATAATGTTTATGCGCCAAAAGCGGAACGAAACTCATTTGAACCGCGCGCGCCTCACGGACCGTTTATCCGCTCGGCTCAAAGTCCAAACGGCAGCGCGAGCTCACTAGAGCAGACGCGTTTACTCTGATCGGCCTCGGTCACGAGATCCAGTGAGAAGCGCTTGAGTTCAGCGAAGAACACAAATGTCTCAGTGATTTAAACCAGTTTAAAGGCAGATGAAACAGCGCTGACGAACATGAGAAACACAGTGCGCAACTATACAGTCAGAAAGCTTTTCCGTCTACAAATTCCCATCATTTACCATCTATTTACTGTAACGTTAGCCTAGTAATATTAACTGCACCATGAAATGTGGGATATACATATTGAATTGTATTATATTATTAATGTAGACAATGTATTAAAGGACTAATGGAATATAATTACAGTATTTAATGTATTTAGGCTATACTGTTTTTCATACATTTCATGAAGAAACGTGCCATCAAAGTCAGGCAACACAAACCTGGTTCAAGACTTGAAACAATATCCCCCATTAGCACATGCAGAAACTAAGAAATTAATTTTCCAATAAAGATATAAGTTTTGTTAAGGAAAAATGACGTTTGAATGTTCTACCTCATATTTGTGAAATGTTCTCGTGTTTGGCAAGTGTTTGTCATAATATGTTCTGACAATAAAGAGTAGTTTAAAACCACAAATTAACGCTCTGGTTTCTACAACTTTCAGTTAGGAGCAAAAATCTGCCTTTAAACTTGAAAGAAATAAAGATTTGACATTTATCGTGATAATTATCGATATTGGCTGATATATTATCGTGATAATTGTTAAGTGTTGTTCCTGTGTTATTGATGCTTAGGGAAAGGGAGCCTTTAGTTTGTTACTATTAAAAAAATTGAATCTTTAAATAATGAAACGTTACTTTTAATGAAAGTCAATAAAAAAAGACTTTTGAAAGGAAGTTATTTTTTCATAATTCGTGTAGGTCATAAATTTAAATCATAATGGTCATAAAAAGGTCTTATAAAGTCTTACATTTGACTGACTAAACCCTGCAGAAACCCTGCTATTCTGTAGCTTAAACAGTAGAGAATGTCACTAGCAATGTCAAGGTCAAGGTCAGGGGTTCGATTCCCAAATTAAATGTATTCTTTGAATACAATCTTAGTTGATTCGGATATCAGCATCAACTAAGTCCATAAATATAAATGTAAGAGTATCAGCACTCTGATAAAAAAAAAAGAAGAAAAGAATTGTTTGCATACATTCTGTAATTAATCACAATTAATCCCACCTATCATTTAACATAATACATAAAGTAAGTTTACAGTGAATCTCCAAATTAATGTAGAAACAACTAGGGGTGTAACGGTACATGTATTCGTATTGAACCGTTTCGGTTCGAGGCTTCCGGTTCGGTACGCATACAAACCGAACGATTCCTTGGACCATTTTTCCTGCCGACAAAATTCGCGCTGGCACGATCACCACAACGTTGCGCAACATCAAATGGCAAGCGTAATGAAACCGGAACGAAACTGCGCTATTGTGCTTCACGGATCGTTTATCAGTTCGGAGCAGCAACATCTGTGCAGCGGGAGCCGATCTCGATCAAGCGACACTGTTACAACCGTTACAACACAGCGCTAAGAGATCCAGTAAAGAAAACATTTGAGTTCGCCACTGAAGTAATAACATCGCTGCGAGATCTAGTGAGAAGCATTCGAAGCTATTAACCGTAGATCTCTATTAGATCAAACAGCGCTGACGTGGACACCAGGAGAAACATTGTGCCGTGAATGAACTAGTAATACTAGTCCACAGACCAGCAACATTCACCATGGATTTAATATAGTAACAACACTAACTGTAACCAGTTTGGCTGGAAGAGTGAAATGCTTTCAAGTACTTAACACATCTTTTTCCAGCACTTCAAAACTCAAATATTATATAAATAAATAGCCTATATGAAGAGTTCAGATGCAAAAGCCTCTATAAGTTAGCCTCGTGAGACCATCCTGATCTCGCGAGCTTTCAAGGTTTCACTCGCAGATCAGTCTGGATACTTTCCGTTAAAGAAAATTTGGGAGCAGTTCACCAAACGAACGTCCAATCAGCGTTGGCTTTGAGGCGGGTTGAGGTGTGACGCAACGAGAAGCGCGTCAGTTCAGTCTAAAGAACATGTCGGCTTCAGCGGATGAAACTAGCATCAGCGTGGCTATCGAGCAAGTTTTATCGGAATTACAGAGTATTTCTTCACTGAAAGAAGAGCAAAACACTGCTCTGGAGGCTTTTCTCAGAGGAAAAGATACGCTCTGTTAGTACGTCATATGCTTCGTTGATCTGATTGGTTGATTTGGCCCGTCTATCACCAACATAGGCCAATCAGCTAACCAGTATTTTCGCCCCTTACCAAAACTACTTCAACGGAAGGTTTCCAGATGGATATGCGGAGCAAATCCATCTGGCGGAGTCAGGTTATCTATAAGTGCCATTTGAAATTTTCTTCTAGAAATTAGAATGATAATTTTTATGAAGCTTGTACATTTAAGTTCAGTAATTTCACTCAAATGACAATTAATAGGCAATCTTCATTGCCATTTAAGTGAAATTACTGAACTTAAATATACAAGCTTGATAAAAATGATCATTCTAAGAAAATTTCAAATAGCTTTTGCATCTAAACTCTTCATATATTTAAATATTATTTTTAATGTGATGACCAAAACATTATTTGTTCATCCTTCAAAGACGACCCCCATTTATAAACCTGAAAGTTTCAAGATGTAGGAAAACTCACTTATTTAAAAAATATTTTTTCTTTTAACAAATAGGAAATTTCTCTGGCATTTCTTACTTTTTGCTGTATCGAAAACGTACCGAACCGTGACTTTAAAACCGAGGTACGTACCGAACCGTGATTTTTGTGTACCGTTACACCCCTAGAAACAACACAAAGATTTGTTTAATGGCATCTTTATACTAATTACAATTTCTGGGGATGAAATTAGTAATTATAGCCATTCAACATTACAGTATAAATGAAAGCCATCATTTTTAACATTTAGGCTTTAGAAAATATAACAACATTTAATGTAAGTTAACTTTTAAAAAAATCTTCACATAAACCCATTATAATACATATTATATTTAGCTGTGCCTTTAGTATAGCAGGGCTCAACGACAAGGATTTTTACTGGCCCCGCCACCAAAAAAAGTGATTGTTTTCGTTGTTGTAACCTTGTATTTTAATAAAAAGGTTATGACACCCTACATTTTTACGTACTAGTGAAATTTCACAATTCTCGATTTTATATCACAATAAAAACTGCTAGCCTGACTAATATAAAGTTCAAACATTTTTTACACAAGTAGTCAGTAATGAAATAAGAGCAAATGACAAACAATAGAATAAAGAAATAATGAAATAAACAGGTGATGGGTGATTTTTCAACTTAAATTTTCGACACCAAAAAAAGATGAATGATGTGAATTTCTGTCTTCCTTGTAGCCGGACATGTACCCTGGCAACTGCTGGGCATTTAAAGGCTCCCAGGGTTATCTGGTGATCAGGCTGTCTTTAAGCGTGATCCCGACCTCCTTCTGCCTGGAGCATATTCCCAAAAGCCTCTCTCCCTCGGGGAACATCAGCAGCGCACCTCGACGATTCTCTGTCTATGTAAGAATGCATGCTTATGTCTGGTTTATGAGCATGTACTCACACATATTTCTAGCTGGATGCTTAAATGTGTTTTTGTGTTAAGAAGTGGTATATAGTCACGAGTGGTGTGCTGTTTGTATCTGCAGGGATTGGATGATGAATACCAGGAAGAAGGGAAACTGCTGGGTGACTACACCTATCAAGATGATGGAGAATCACTCCAGATCTTCCCAGTTATGGTAAAATATATGCATACAGAATTTGTAGATGTATGATGTCCAATGCTCCCCTACAGGGTTCAAGTTTTCCCTGGTGTCTGCGCACGCAATAAGTGGGCGGGCAATATGCTAATGTTTCCTCTTGACGTCACAACGAAACGGCTTATGACTCGTTTGAAAAACAATTAATTGACTCAGAGTCGACTCTTACTTATGAAAGACAATAACTTTATATACGGTGCACTTTCAGATTTAAAACTTAAAACTGCAGGATGTTTTCATTCACTTAGAGCGATGTTACACACTACATGAAAGGTCATTTTCAAAAATCCATAGTAGGGGCCCTTTAAGGCAACTTAAAGGCAGAGGTTAGAGTCCTGTGATTTCCACGATGCAGAAAATGTAGACACAATCGCTTAATCCAGTTATAAAAATGGAATACACTGGATGTTACATAATTTGGTCAAATTTGGATCATTCAAAAGTAGGGCTAAACACTTAATTTAATCGGGATATAGACTTGTGTCTGTGAATATTAAACCACAAAAAGACTGCTATTGAAATATGTGTCTTGGCCAGTATTTTATCATTTCATTTGATAAAACTAATGTCAGATACACACAGAAACTCAAAGGTCTTCACTACAACCCGAACACAGTTTGTTTTAACTTGAAGGAATTATTAAAGAAATACTGTATATTACAGGGTTCGTACAAGGTGCTTAAAGTGCTTGAAGTACTTGAATTTGACTTTTTGAAATTTAAGTCCTGGAAAACCCTTGAAAACAGCCATATTTTTGAAGAGGTACTTGAAAAGTGCTTGAATTATTATAGGGATGCAACGATACCGAGCTCATGTACTCGTAAAAATGCTCTGATACCAATAACCGATAGGCCTACCGGGCAGCGTGTGTATAGTAACGCATAGCTGTGGTGCGCGAGCTGATCATCAGAGAAAACCGCGCAGTGGATTGAGCGCGCAGCAGCACAGACGAGCACATCTCTTTAAACAGACATCAGTGGAAGGTTTGTAGTTTAGTCGGATGTCAATGGCAATGAAAATAAAACAAGGCATGTACTAGCTTATTATTAACGTTAACTGACGAGAGAGAGCGCAGTTCTGTTGAATGCTCTTGATTGCTAAATCGTTCACTCAGCTTGTGTTATTTGGATGACAACTAAATCAAGTAAAGTAAAACATGACCTGTTACCTGATTTATGTATAACGAGTGATTCCCTACATTATTACTGGACGTTTGCAGTCAATAAGTTCCATGAACGCAAGCATCCAAAGCGCGCGCCCCGGAAACCAGCGTGTCAGCGCGCGGATACTGAATTGAATTGTCTTTCACGTCTTGCGCTTGTGCGGAGGAATTCACACAGAATTATGTAAAAATGCCCATATTTGCGAGTATCCTAGTAAACAAAGTCAGGTATATCAAGTGAACGTAGCCATGGGGTCCGTGCATTCGGTCTTAAAGGGGCAGCACTTCAATAAACCCACTGCTGTTTTAATGTTAATCAAACAATGAATGGACAAATAAATTACTCACTGCTCTTGACTAAATAGTCTACCCTTTTCAACTTTCAAAAGATCCATCTAGATTTAATTTATCCAGTAATTTGTAGCCTTTCTTTGTTCTATTGTATTTATTTGTAAGTTGATTATTCGTTCTTATTTTGTTGCTGACTGCTTACCTTTTAATAATGTTTTAAATTCACATTAATTAGGCTGGCAGTTTTTGTTGTAGTATCAAAATTGGATTAAATTATTTATATTTCACTGGTGTCTAAACATTTGTACCACTGACCCAATTCTCAGCACTGACATTTCTGGAGCTGCTCTAGTCTAAATATGTGCTGTGCTATTCAATGAAATATAAAATATGATAGAGCAATAGCATGTACAGTAACAAAAGCTCATACAATGCAATTTAGCAGGCTTAATTAAGCATGCAAATAATTGAAAGAAATATATATTTGATAAACAAATTAAGCCAACTAATATGATTATTACTAATACATTTAAAAATTACAAATGCAGTGAAAATTCAGGAATCGGTTACAGTATCGGTATCTTGTTCTGCAAAAAAGTGGTATCGGTCCATCACTAATTTAAAATATTGTGATTTTTTTTTTTTTTTTTTTTTTTTTGAAAAAATACAATTGTTTCACGCTAAATCAACGCTGTAGCCCGTCTGAGATATAGAGCTATTTCCCATGGCTATGAGCATGATATTAAGTATATGATAAGTATATAATACAACTTTCATTCTTCAGGTCAATCATATATATTAATGGGGGGGAAAATCAGTTTCAATATCCTTTCAATGGTTAAGGTGAGTTCCCATGCCTGCCAGCGCTGGTCAATGGATTCACCTCTCTGAATTGAAACATCAATAAGTAAAAATAATAATCAAGATTTTGTTTGATAAGTGCCGATTGAAGTCCTTGAAAGTCCTGGAATTTCATTTGACAGAGTCCGAACCCTGATATTACTATTGTACAGTAAAATTTGCTTCTCACGGTAATAATAACAATAATAATAAAAGTTTATTGAAACATTTTCAAGGAATATCACAATTTTTCAACCATATTTAAAAGGCAAACCTCTACTGCGCAACACTTTTTTGCCAAGAAATAAAATTATTTAAATACATTTTAAAAAATGTATTACATTATTAATGTTTTATATATTCTTTTGATTACCACTGTTTTTGGTAATACATTTGTATGAAACAGAACTCTTTTTTTTTTTTTTTATTAAGAAAATGTAATTAAACCATTAAAAATAAATCCAGAAGAAATAAAATGGAAAACACGGAATGTGTTTCCTAGTATCTTGTCGTTAGCTTAGCAACATGCACTTTTCTTTTTTGGCCAAATTCAGCATTGCATGTCCCAGAATGCATTAATAAAAAATCAAGTGTTATTAGCTTAGCAACATGCTTCTGTCAAACTCAATTGGAATAAATTGTAAATTGAGTCTATGTTCTGTACCAGTCATGTATGTAGTTCTGTTTTAGTTAGCATGCTGCCCTTGTAGACAGCAGAGCAGCGTACTAGGGTTTGGCAGTGAGCGGAAATGCTGACCATGATTTATTTTGCCTTTTTGTCCCCAGGAGAAGAATGACAAGGCCTTTCAGATCATCGAGATGCGCGTGCTGTCGAACTGGGGTCATCCCGATTACACCTGCCTGTATCGCTTCAGAGTCCACGGCAAACCTCACACTCAATAAAGCCCCACTGTACAGTACCATATCACCCTTTATGTACATACAGGAAACGCTCGGACTTTGATGCGGCTCGGGTGAGACTGGGCTCGCAAGCTACGTTTTTAAGACTTTTAATACGAATGATGGCCGAAACAGAGTTACAAGGAGCACAGCGGGAAAGAGCCATGCATTTCAAGCTAAGGATTTCCCACTTGTTTCCTTCCCACTTCCCTGTTCTTGCACTGATTCATGCCCTTTCGGCCGGGCCCCGTGTTACGCTCCTGCCCCGTAGAGGTATCTGTGCCTTCAGACAGAACACGCTTCTCTCATTTTACTTTTGTTTTCTGAATGTACAGAGAGGTGTGAAGTTCAGGACACACTAATGTAAGTATCCGAGTATCCGACTTCAGCCTCTGCCGCTTTGACTAGTCTGGAAGAGGGACGTTTTTAAAACCTTTACCACCACTTACCCTGATTAGAGAATATGTCTGGGTCATATTTCCCCCTTGAAAAGTTATTTTTACTACATCAATCTTCTATTAGGGCTGCTAAGTTTTTTTTTTTTTTTGCATTGTGATGTTATTTTCAAATTTAAGCAACAAAAAGAAAATCTCATTACTGTAATGCAAAAGTATATATTATTTAAAAAGTTTTATTTTTTATATATTTATGATAGCCTTTGTTTTACTGCTTTTTCATTTGTTCTGATTTAAATAATTAAATTGTAATAGAGCTTGAAAAAAATTACTATTGAGTGTCATTTTTCAATAATATTATTGAGAATTTATTCCAATTACATTTTTCTTTTGCATTATAATAATGTGGTCATTTTGTAGGGAAATGTTCTTAATTTTCCAATAATGTGATGATGCAAAAAAAAATAAAAAAACATCATAAAACAGTCCTTTTTTACTTTATAATGCTGACTGAAGCTACCAATCACAGTTGTGTTATTTGTATGTGCCATTTAGGGCTGATATTATTTTCAGTGTGAAATATGACCCAGACAGTATTTTATTTTTTGTACAAAAGAAGAAAAACTGATAACAGCCATAAATTGTAAGAGACACTAGCTTGAGCTCAGATGGAAATCTCCACGGACGGGGAACGGATGTTTATGGATGAGCATGTGGACTAATATGTGTACATTTGAACAAAACTGGACATAAAACACTCACTCACTGTTTGTTTCTCTCGTCAGTAGTAATATCACAGCGCAGTCACGATACTCCGCAGGAATGTAACTTATTGTAATTAGTCCTTTTTAATCGACTTATATCAGTGTTTATTTTACATAAAGGGGTGCGCCCTGTCGTCTTCATCATCATCATTATATTCCTTTTTATTGTGTTTTTGTCAAGCTTTTGAGTTAAAGTAGACAGCGCACTGTTCTGTCTTTATAAAGGAAATGTAAGTTGCACAAGTCCTATGTAATTCATTGGATACGTTTAAAAAGTCAGGGGTTCATTTGCAGAACAGTGTCGTCAACACTATGTTGACCTCTAAGAGTCCGTTTGTAAAATACTATTGATTTGTTCGTGACTATTTATTTTACAGAATTTTAGCTGAGAAATAGGACTTTGTGCGGTGTGTTTTGTAAAATGCTTTTCAGTGCAAATTGGTCTGTTTATATTTAGTTTTGTTTTCCGGTCGTTATAAAATGGCTACAGTACTATGACTTGTACCAGTAAAGAACTTTAATTTTGAGGATATTTGTATTTTTTTTATTGAAGTGTGCTGAAGTGGTTAAAATAAGTTCACGGAAAAATCTAAATTGTTTATATTTTTATAGTCTTACCATTATGTTATGTAAGAAAAAGTGTTACAAGTTTGGAACCACATGAGGAGGGTGAGTATTATGAAAGATTCATTTTCATTTGTACTTTAAAATGATGTGCGCTCCTTCAAAACTGCTTTTTTGGCACTGAAACACTGCAATTTCAGTATGACCCCAGCGATATTGCAGTCTTTGGTTGAACTGTTCAAATCTGTCAAAACCTGCTGAAAGACATGGTTGAGTGTTGGTAATCTCCTCTGTTTGCCAGCCGTCTAACACATGCATGTAGCGAATGATGGCCCTCGTTTTGCATTTTGCTCTTTTCTAAATTATATTTCAATGTATCTCAATTGCTACGCTGACCTGCTATTATATAAGGCCAGGGAGGAGTAAGAAACAACATCACAGAACATTACATGAACATTAACTGGGTAGGCCTTTATAACTAAATGTTTAGAGACATCGTGTACCCTTATTAAATAATAAATTGGGAGAACCTACAGAAATGTCAAGGATGGATACTTTTATAGAGCTTCACTAAAATGGAGTTCCAGAAATTTGCCTTTTTGCATTTTTAATCCACACAGATAGATACACAGATAGATAGATAGATAGATAGATAGATAGATAGATAGATAGATAGATAGATAGATAGATAGATAGATAGATAGATAGTAGTTCCCTTTTTCTCCAGCAGAGTGCAGCACAACCAGGCTGCTATTCTCCTCAATGTGCGCGCGCTTGTCCTATATGTGGATTGTGTGATCCGAAATGTTCTCAAATTCATATGATTTATTTATATTTTATGAGAGATTGCACATGAGACGGTGTTATAAACTCCAATACTTTCTCTCTTCTGGTCATTCACCTCTCTTCTCCGTCCATGTGCTGATGAGTGGGACTTGTGTTGTAGGCAAGTTGTTAATGCCAGATGCGTTACTGGATTGTTGCTTTGCAGGGTGCGAATTATGGGGTTATGACCCAAAAATAAAGGCTTTAATCTCTCCACAAAAGAAGTCTGTGAGAGGTGTAGAACAGACTTCCTCGAGAAAGTGTGTATTCAAACATTTCATTTTCACCAACAAATATTAAAACGAAAACGAATTAAAATCGCGTTCGCTCAAGAACAACCATAACAGAACAATGACGTTATTGCAACTGCTATCGATAAACCATAAATGAAGTGTTAATTATTTATCTATCACTTTAATTTGTTTTTATATATATATATATATATATATATATATATATATATATATATATATATGTATGTATATATATATATATATATGTATGTATATATATAGTGGAGAGAGAGAGAGACACACACCATCAGGTACATCACTCACACACACACACCTGTGCTGACCCTGCATTCCGCCCTCATAACACTTCATATATAACGGACGCTCGTGCCGCCGAATCGTTGCGCAAGACAAAAACAAATTCTCGACTTTTTTTCCTTTTTTTTATTTTTTATTTTTTTTACCCAGAACTTCAATTCCCTTTACAATCGATAATTGTATAATTCACAGCATCTATCTATCACATGTTTTGTTTAACTTTTAGGCTACCGTGTGCAAAAAACAAGCGTCCACTTTTATTCTTAAAGTGACTGTACCTCTTCTTTGTGTAAGGACCCAAAAGCACTGATGCAAAGGCTCTTTCGCTACTTTCCTCTGCGCATTTCTGCTGTCTGTGAATGGGCGGTCTTACTCACTGCACACCACACACACCGTGTCAGTGTTCAGCAGCACCACACAGATGCGTTTCTCTCTCCGAGGGCACAATGTCGCACACAGGAGTTTTGCATCCGTCTAGGAACATCCACAGGTAGTTAGTCACCACTTTTGCATTCTCTTTGGAAAAGCATTTGATCGATTTGGACACTTTTTTTTTTTCTTGCTTTTTGTCTATTATATATTATTATTGTCTTGCAGTTGCATGCATATTATTGTACATACACTGAGGACTATGCACTACTTGACCATATAGAACCGACAACGATGCTTGCTTGTAAACATTTGCAGATGCTTTTGCCGTAAGTTTTCGGGTTTTTTTTTTTTTATTATTATTTTATTTTTTCGGAATATAACGCTTGGATTTTATTACAAGTTTGGATGTGAAGACAAAAGCGGAATATAATGGCTAGTGATTTGAAGCCTCGGTTGTGTGTGATGAAGAAAGGAGAGAGCGGATACGGGTTTCATCTGCACGGAGAGAAAGGAAAAACCGGACAGTACATACGGAAAGTGGAGCGCGCGTCCCCGGCTGAGGCATCGGGACTGCGCGCGGGTGACCGTGTGGTGGAGGTGAACGGCGAGAACGTGGAGCGAGAGACACACCATCAGGTACATCACTCTCTCTCACACACACACACACACACACACACACACACACACACACACACACACCTGTGCTGATTCTGCATATTCCGCCCTCATAACACTTCACATTACACTGGCCATGATGCTGCTTTGTGAGGTAATTACGTGATATAGGCTATGCAGTTTATTAGTTTTACACTACACTAACGTTCAAAAGTTTAAGGTCAGTAAGATTTTTTTATTTAGCAAGGATGCATTCAATTGATCAAAAATGACAGTAAAGACGTTTACAATGGTCGAAAAGATTTATATTTCAAAGGGTCACGTGACGCTGAAGACTGGAGTAATAATGCTGAAAAGTGAAAATACAATATAAAACAGTCATTTTTAATTGTGACGATATTTGAAACTATTACTGTTTCACTGTATTTATAAAAAAAAGCATAAAAATATTACTGACTCCAGTCCAACCTTTTAATCGTTTGTGTATGTTTGTCATGATGATCTTAACTTTTTGGTTTTTATCATATGTGTAATGCTTGAAATGAGATTTGTATACAAATATAAATTGTATGAATGTCCTTCTAAAACTCAAATTTTATGAAATGCATGAGTTTAAGTGGATATTGAAGGGAGGAAAAAAATGCTTCAATAAAATATCCTTATATAGTGTTTAAAAGCATCCTAAGGTTGATAAATATGCAGAATGAGCAGAGCAAAGACACTTAAAGACAGACATTGAAACTCAAATATAAGAGGGTTGGTCACAACATCATTCCCATTTGCGTTACGTCATAGTTTCAATGACTTTTACTGTTGTTGTTCTAAATGTGCAAACAATCATGAGAATGTGTCAGTGTGTCCAAACCTTTGACTGGTATGTTTGTATAAACGGCAGAGAGTGAAATCCATTTATTTGAGCTAAAAAGGTTTGGCCTTTGGAAACAACTTTGCATGGAAAATAAAGAGCCTACTTGCGTATCAGAAACCTGTGGACTTGTGAATGCACAATGAAATTCCACGCATTTCTTGAGTTGCACTGACTAGATAGACTTGCACTGACGTAGACTATATGACTAGATATTTCTTTGTGTTTAGTGTCGCGCATGTACTGCACGGTGCACATGTTACATGTTAAAGTCTTGGAATTTTTAATATGTATGCAGTTCCAGTTATGACAGGAGGATGTGTGATAACCGTGTGAATAACCGTGTGAATGGTAGCGTGAAAGCACGTCTTCAAAAGTTTGGGCCCAGTAAGATGGTTTTTAAAAGAAATTAATACTTTTATTCAGCAAGGATGCATTAAATTGATCAAAAGTGACAGTAAACACATTTATAATGTTAATAAATGCTGTTCTTTTGAACTTCCTATTCATCAAAGAATCCTGATGCATCAAAAATAGCAGCACAAATGTGTTCATGAGCAGTTTTGCCGTCTCTTCCGCTCCTCAGGTGGTGCAGCGCATCAAAGCCGTGGATCATGAGACCCGACTGCTGGTGGTTGACCGGGAGACCGACGAGTACTTCCGAAGCCTGCGTCTCACCTGCACCGAGGACATGGCCATCCCGACCAGCCCTGCAGCCGCGACCCCCTCACCCTCTCCGTCCACCAGTAAACAGGGCAATGGATCCGTGTCCAAACGAAGCGAGATCTCCAAACCCATCAGGAAACCTCCGTCACGAGCTCCTAAGAAGGTGTGTGGGTCCATTCACTATCTGACTACACTCTTTCAGTGAACCGTACCTAAAAATTTTCCCCATTTTAATAATCTATTTCCACTATTAAGAACCTTTTTCCAGTGGAAAAGCTTCCATGGATGTTTTTTAAGGTTCTCCATGGAACCATTGATGCCAATAAAGAATTGCTTTATTTTTAAAGGCCAATTCACACTGCACCGACGAACGGCGACGGACAGGTTTTATCTGGAGATGCACCGATACTACATTTCTCTGCTAATACCGATAGCCGATTATTCAGAATGTTATCAACCGATAGTTTGAGTTTCTAAAAGGGCTAGTTCACCCAAAAATGAAAATGATGTCATTAATGACTCGCCCTCATGTCGTTCCAAGCCCGTAAGACCTCCGTTCATCTTCGGGACACAGTTTAAGATATTTTAGATTTAGTCCGAGAGCTTTCTGTCCCTCCATTGAAGATGTATGTACGGTATACTGTCCTTGTCCAGAAAGGAAATAAAGACATCATCAGAGTAGTCCATGTGACATCAGTGGGTTAGTTAGAATGTTTTGAAGCATCGAAAATACATTTTGGTCCAAAAATAACAAAAACTACGACTTTATTCAGGATTGTATTGTCTTCCGGTTCTGTTGTCAATCCGCGTTCAGTGACGCTGATGACGTAAGACGCGGCTGACATGTTAATCCGGTGCGCCCGAGCTTCGTTTACAGTCTGAGGGAGATGCACGCTGTAAACAAAACAATCTTCGCAAACATGTCTAAGGATTTCGACACAGAGGAAGACTTGCATTTTTTTCCCCAGCCATATTTATTTGAACCCGAATACACGAGCGCACCAGATACACGTCAGCAGCGTCTTACGTCAGCAGCGTCACTGAACGCGGATCGACAACAGAACCGGAAGACAATACAATGCTGAATAAAGGCGTAGTTTTTGTTATTTTTGGACCAAAATGTATTTTCGATGCTTCAAAACATTCTAACTAACCCACTGATGTCACATGGACTACTTTGATGATGTCTTTATTTCCTTTCTGGACAAGGACAGTATACCGTACATACATTTTCAATGGAGGGACAGAAAGCTCTCGGACTAAATCTAAAATATCTTAAACTGTGTTCCGAAGATGAACGGAGGTCTTACGGGCTTGGGACGACATGAGGGTGAGTCATTAATGACATCATTTTCATTTTTGGGTGAACTAACCCTTTAAGGGAAACAAAATCTCTCTGAAATAATGCTGCAATCTATACGGGAAACCCTCTCATTTGGGACATTACTATAATATTAGAGGTTTGATTTTAACTACAGAGCTATTACATTCAACTGGTATTTATTTTCAGATATAATATAATTATACTCGGATAAAAATTGAAATGTTTCAAAGTAGTTTTCATTAGCGCTTGTCTTCATGACAAATTCATTCAAACATACATATAGAATTAACAGTAAATAAGCTCTTCTCTAGTGTTTTTTCTAGCTAACTAACCAACTGTGAACATTCGATAACTTTCCTGAGGTAGATGCAATCATAACCCAAGCTGTTTTATTGACGTCTTCCCACGGTTGAAACGCTGAGACATGATTAATTTTTGGTAAGTTGTACTGTATCTTTCAACATATCTTCTGATGTTAATGCATGTTTTTTTTCTTGCTATAACTTGTAATAAAGTGGAAGAAAAGACTTGCACTTCCGCTTGAACTGAGGCACATTTAAGAGCGTCAAAACGGCATTTATTGTTTGAAATCCGTGATAAAATGGGTATCATTTGAAAGCTGAGACTTTGTTTCTTAACAGAAGTAACAAGGCACAGCGTTTTTTGCAATTGTTGGATGGCAGGCGCTACAAATAATGTTTGGTGTAGGGAAAACCGCGGACCTGGCAACCCTTACTTGAACTACGGGTGATTCATAGGGTCAAAAAGAGTCTGCTTTAACATCGCTATTTTTTAACTGTTAATTGTTCGTTAACTTGCCCTAAATTCATAGTTACAGTCGGAACATGTTTTTCCGTCCCCTTTTGATTGACAGAATAAAATCGTCCCTGATCATGGGCTGTTTTTAAACAATCGGCCAATACATCAGTGCATCTCTAGTTTTGTCGGATCAGTGTGTTAACCCTCGTCGGCATCTGTTACCGTTGGTGGGCGCTTGTTTTTGCCGATTAAACATGTTGAATCTGTGTTTGCCTGGTCATGGCCTTAAGATTGTTCAACCTTTCGATTAATCCACAATGATATGTTGGCCCTTTTCCCTGGTCTAAAATGTAAACAAGGTCATTGCATCATAAGATAGGCTGAACATCTGGACTGAGTGACATCCCCAGAGTTGGACCCAGTTCTCATAGTTCCAGTTTATTTAGAGCTCATCAATTAGTTTTTCCTAGTGTGTCAGAGAAAATGTGCTTGGCGGATATAATATAAACTGCTATAATTATGGATTAATGGGTTAATTCATTGAGTATTATTATTAAATAATGAGTTCAATGACAGTTTGTGGCTCAGATATTATCTTGTGGGCTCTGTCATGGTTGGTCGGTGTAACCAAGATGTGACGCTGTAATAGTTTTGCAGTAAGTCTGCATGTGAGACAAGCTTCTCCAGGACATTGATCATGTTTCCCATTGCTTATATATTCCGGAAAATTGCTCTTGGATTTTGGCCATTTAAAAGCATAAAAGATTCTGTCCATGTGTGATTATTCCACTCATGCTTTCCAAGACTGTCTTATTCCTGATGCATCAACACCACATACTGTGTACAGATACTAATTTTACTCGAAGCGAATCTCAGAGTCAAATATTTGTACCTATTGTATTGTTTTATTGCTCAGTTTTATCACATAAAGATGTAGGCTTGCTAGCACATCTCTCCTCCACACACCACATGATTTGATGTATCATTCATGTCCGTAGCTCAAACATTGCTGGACAAGGTAATTGCTGAAGTGTAATGCTTGTTCAGGCATTAAGAGTCTGCTTATTGAACATGTGCACCTAACAAGGAAGACAAGCAAGTGTAGATCATGTTTGAAGATATCACATGGCAAAAAATGACCATCTTTATTCTGTTAATGCAATATTTGTGTAGGATCTCAAATATATTTGTCTTTTCCTCAGCCTAATGCATACATCCAACATCTGCTCTCACTTACAGCCCACTTTCCAAATGGGTTTACATAATCCAGTGCTGTTTCAATACGATGTTGCCGAGTGGGAAAGACAGAGCGTGTGAGAGGGTGGGTGTGTGTAACAGCCACATGTGTGTGTGATAATACTGACTGTGACAGTAAAATTGTTAACATCGGAGAAGCCAACTTGGTCCAAACAGAGAGACGTGTTGAAGCTGTTTCTGAAACCCATCAGTAGAGCTTGTCATCATAAGCCCTTCACACTTGATTTTACTCACATATACACATTGCCCGGCCACAAAAAAAAAGTCGCTCTTTGGATTTAAATAGGCAAAGGCTTAAAAGGATAGTTCACTTTGAAATTAATTTTTGGTATGTTTTAGCTTATCTCAAGGGCATCCAAGATGTAGGTGTCTTTGTTTCCGCAGTAGTTTCAATTTTGATATTTTTAGGTCAAACCGTTCTTGTCTGTCAGTCATATAATGCAGGTCTATGGTCACCACCTCAAAGAGCATGCACAGAGAAGTCCAAATTAAACATGATTTAATGACTCGTAAATGTAAGTACACATTGATGGCCTAAGACACGAAACGAGCGGTTTGTGTGAGAAAACGAACAGTATTTATATCGTTTTTACCTCTTGTAACCACAGCCACGTCCAAGTGATCTGAGGGCGCGGGCGCTACGGTCTGCGAAAGCGCCGGAAGTGATCTAAATATGGTTGTGAAAACAATTCAACGTTGTCTGTTGATATATCGAAATCGTCTTCCATTGCGATTTCCTGTATATCTAAATATGTTTAGATCTTCACAGTGAAAGGTAACACTTCCGAAATCTCTGTGTAAACAATGAGTGACGTACACGCGCGAGAGATCACTTCCGGCACTTGCACAGACCGAAGCGCCCGCGCCCTCAGATCACTTGGACGTGGCTGTGGTTACAAGAGGTAAAAACGATATAAATACTGTTCGTTTTCTCACACAAACCGCTCGTTTCGTGTCTTAGGCCATCAATGTGTACTTACATTTACGAGTCATTAAATCATGTTTAATTTGGACTTCTCTGTGCATGCTCTTTGAGGTGGTGACCATAGACCTGCATTATATGACTGACAGACAAGAACAGTTTGACCTAAAAATATCAAAATTGAAACTTCTGCGGAAACAAAGACACCTACATCTTGGATGCCCTTGAGGTAAGCTAAAACATAACAAAAATTAATTTCAAAGTGAATTATCCCTTTAAGCGTCTATGATTGGATCATTATTGAAAGTCTTTGGGATGTGCTGGAGGAGACTTTACATAGTGTTGGACTCTTGCATTGACAATACAAGATCTTGACCAAAAATGTATGCACCTCTTGATGGAAATAACATCCCAACATCAAGAGGTGCATCAACTTTCGGTCAAGATCTTGTATTGTCAATGTAAGAGTCCAACACTCTGTAAAGTCTCCTCCAGTACGTCCCAAAGACTTTCAGTGAATTTAAGGTCTGGACTCAGAGGTGCCAATTCATGTGTGAAAATGATTCTTCATGTTCCCTCACAACCATTATTACACTATTTGAGCCTGATGAATCATTGTCATCCTGGAATATGGCCATGATCCGTCTTCCTACATGAGGGAGGGGAAGGATTAGAGGAACTGATGCCAAACATATAACACGCCAGAAACATAATAATCACTGCAATAATGATTTATTTTTCAATCCGAGCCAATGAAGATGAATAAAATACGAAGAGAAACCTTGGGAAATGAAGGTAGAACATAGTAAAAATGCCTAATTTCTTGTACCATAAAGCAACTCAAGAACCACAAGTGATTCAAACACTGTCAAGAACATTTCAGTCATAATTCACCCCAAAA